CCTGCTATAGCTGACTGAACTGAATCTTACCTTTAGAGCTTGGGATTCCAGTGGACATTTGTATTAGATTAATTTTGTTCTTAACACAATTACTTCACATTAGCCAAATATACCCCATATTTCAGGAACCCACCTCAGGAATGTAACCTGCCTTTTTCAGCCTCTTATCTACTATTCTTGGAGGCTTTTGAGAGAACAGACCTGGAAGTGGCCAACCCTATCTGGGCCATGCTCTTCAGTCATGTCCCAGGGCTTTCTCTGAGTTCTCAGTCAGTGTCAAGATATGACAATGCCTACACTGGATTGGGTTTGCTGAATGTTGTGATGAGTACCATGATACTCCTATATTTACCATTGCCCATTTCCTGTATATACGAATTTACTTTGCAAACCTCAGGTTAGAGATATTAAAAACATACTTTTATCACATTTCATCCTATCAAAAGCACCAGTTACAGGCTCTTTTATTTCCTCAGAAAACAGTGAGCACAGTGACCTCAATAATTTTATTTTCAGTGTTTCATGACATTTCACTGAAGGGTCATCTGATATTTTATCACAGAGTAAAAGTGCCAAGAGGTCCATAAACGTCTTGCTTCACCTTATAAATCTTGTTTTTCTCAATACTCTCTCAGCATCAATACAACAGTATTACAAACAGCTCTGACTGAGCAGCTCCATGGGGAGAATGATAAAGGCAAATGGTTAATTTCTAGTCTTGTTAAGATTCTAAATGTTTGATCTGAAATAACTGAGTCTTACTGGTCAAACTGGTACAGCTGAGGTATTTGGATGAGACCTATTGGGGCAGTGTAATACAGTCCCATCTCCATTCGGGGAGCTCCAGCGCTTCTGAAGAGAAGGAAGGTCTTGGGACAGAAGTGCATGAAGCTGGAGAGGGTGAAAAAAAACACACCCTAGCTGGGATCTCCTTTCCAGTGGAAGTCCCTGTATCTTCTTGCACTGAGGACATTTCTATGGGGGAAGGGGTGGCAGGGAGAGAGTCAGGAGAACTCCAGTCAAAAGAAGGAAAAATGCTTTAGTAGTGGAAAATTACATTATTAGGAATACAGACAGTTTAGTATCTGATGGGCAAGAGGACTGCGTGATAGCAGATCTCATGAGACATACTGACCCATTTGTTAGGAGTGCTGGGAAGGAGCCAGAGGTGGTGATCCATGTTGGCACCAATGACAAAGTGCAGGAGAACATCTTGGAAGCTACATTTAGGCTGATAGGGAAGAGACTTAAGCCCTGGCCCCACTGGGAACATTTTCAGAAATATTTCTAGTACTGCACTCTAGTCCAGGGAGGCAGGCAGAGCTGCAGGGTTTCCAATGTGTGGATGAGGAGATGGTGTGGAGTGCAGGGGATTAGGTTTATTGGGAACTGGGAATCCTTTTGAGACAGGAAGAGCCTGTTAAGGTGGAGCTTGCCCCTCCTGTACAAAAATGATACCAAACTGCTGACATGTAACATTAAAAAAGGTGCAGACCAGCCTTTAAACTAAAAACTGAGGAAAAGCTGACAGGTGCAAAACAGCACATGGTCCAGACAGATGCTTCCATTAAGGGTGAAACAATGAACAGTCCAGATCCCCCCACAGAGGATGAGGAATAGGATGGAATGGCTCAAATTAAACAGGGAGGAATAGCTAAAAAAAAAAAAGGTACCCAGCTTAACAGGATGCCCCAAAGTAGAAACCTAGGCACAAATAAAAAATGCATTTAGGCAAATGCCAGAACTCTAAGAACCAAGATGGGGAAGCTAAAATACTCGGCATTAAATTAAAATCTTGATACAATAGGTATCTCAGAGACATGGTGGGAAAGAAAAAAAAATATCACTGTCCACCATAATACCAGGGTACAAACTATTAGGGGTATGAGAAATGGGCCATACTCAATTCAGATTCAGATTCGGCCCGAATTGGGGAAAGTGATACAATTTGTTGATTCGGATCACTGTCTCTGATTAGATTTGGCCAAATCTGAATCTGAAGATTCAATGATGATTTGGAGAATCAGTGATTTAGCCATAGACACAGCTTTAAACATTTTTTCTACATACCTTGAGGTACCAGGCAGCTCGTGAACGCTGCAATGCTGGGGCGGATGGAGCATCCCACAGGAGCGTGGGGTGGGGGAGCCCTGTGTGCTCGGCGGTGAACCCAGAAGTGGACTGGACATGCTTCTAGTCCACTTCTGAGCCTGCTGCCGAGCACACTGGGGAGCCCCCCATGCTCCACTGGATTAGAACGATCTTCTGCTGGCAGTGTTGATGGTACTTCTTCAGTGATTTGGTGTGTCCCCTGTATGTTGTCCATATCTCAGCTCCATACAGTAAGGTGGGGATCACAACTACTTGACAAACCGTGAACTTGGTTTCAGATATGATATCATAATTTTTTAGCACCCATCTCCTCAGAGATCCAAAAGCTACATGTTGCACATTTGAGGTGATATTGGATTTCTCCATTGATGTTGGATGTCTTCTGAGAGAGATGGCTTCCCAGGTATGGGAAATACTCAGTGTTCTTCAGAATCTCACTGTGAATCTGAATTAGCAGAGCTGGGGACTGCTCATTAAGAGCTTGTTGACAGAGAACCTTAGTGTGTTATTTAATATCTTCATCAGCGATTTGGATGAGGATGTGGAGAGCACCCTCTCCAAGTTTGCAGATGATACCAAGTTATGGGGCAAAGTTAATACACCGGAGGGCGGGGAGCAGATACAGGCCAATCTGGACAGGTTGGATCAATGGGCAGAACAAAATAGGATGAAATTCAACAAAGATAAATGTAAGGTATTCCACCTAGGAAGGAGGAATCCCCAGCACACCTACAGGTTGGGGGATGACATCCTCAGCAGCTCAGTGGCTGAGAGGGATCTTGGAGTCATAGTTGACTCCAAGATCAACATAAGCCAGCAGTGTAACGAAGTCATCAACAAGGCCAATTGCACCTTGTCATGCATTAACAGATGCATGACCAACAGATTGAGTGAGGTGATGCTCCCCATCTATGCGGCATTGGTCAGGCCGCAGTTGGAATACTGTGTCCAGTTTTGGGTGCCGCACTTCAAGAGGGACACAGAGAATCTGGAGAGGGTTCAGAGGAGGTCCACTCGCATGACTAGTGGCCTCCGTGAAAGACCCTATGAGGGGAGGTTGTGGGATCTGGATCTCTTCAGCCTTCACAAGAGACGTCTGAGAGGAGACCTTGTAGCCGCCTATAAGTTTATCAAGGGAGAACAACAGGGAATAGGTGATGCGCTATTTACCAGAGCACCCCTAGGAGTAAATAGGAATAATGGGTGCAACCTAGTGGAGAGTAGATTCAGGTTGGACATTAGGAAGACATTTTTTACAGTAAGGGTGGCCAGAATCTGAAATGGGCTTCCAAGAGAGCTGGTGCTATCACCTAACTTGGAAGTCTTCAAGAGGCTTGACAGACACCTGGCTGGGGTCATCTGACTTTGGTCCTCTTTCCTGCCAGGGACAGGGGGTAGGACACTAGGCTCGTTGGGGGGAGGGGAAGATGAGGGCGGGGGAAGCTGTGGACCACCAAACCATGTGGCATCCACAAGGGCAGCCCAGCCTGAAGAAAGAGAGCATTGGGAACCTGAAAGCCATGGGGAGGCCAGCACTACGACACAGGTAAGAAACGAAAAGGTAAGAAACAAAGGGCCCCTTGGGACTC